TTCAGCAAAGGCAGCAATTGCAAGCGCTTGCGGGGGGGGGATGTGTGTCTGTCTGTCTTTTTTTTTTCTCCGTTTTGCTATTTTTCCTTGTCATTTGTTCTTTTTTTTTTCCTCCCTTTTCAATTTTTTTCTTCTTTTATTTCTTCTTTTATTTCTTTTTTTGTTGTTTTTTTTTTTTTTTTTTTTTCTAGAGCCGTGATTTCCTCCCTGGGGTGGAAGGGGGTGAAGCCTAGTGAGGTTTTGGGTCTTTCCCTTTCCTTTTCCCTTCCCCTTTCCCTTTCCTTTCCCCTTTCCCTGCTCCTTCCCTCCTCCCCTCCCTTTCCCCTTTCCTTTTTTGTTTTTTTCTGAATGTTTTTAACATTTAAATTGTTAATGAGGGGAATGAGTTTGCTGCCGATGGTGTGCATGCGTGAGGAGAGCAGCTTAGCAATTGGGGGTGGTTAGGTGAGACGCTGGGTGAAAACACTGTCACTTTTCAAAATACAGTGCTTGGGTTTTTATTCATTTATTTTTTTCTGGGCTTTTCACTGAAGAGTGTCTCACGCTGTAAAAGTTCTTTCGCAAACTGTGCAGGCATTAGACCTTTTCCCATCCCATCAGACCTTGATGGATTTGAGGTGCCCAGGGTTGATGTGCAGAGCAAGCCTGAGCCCCTCCATCCTTTGAGGGGGAGCCCAGCGAGGTGCCCTCCTGCTCACCTGGCCATCCTGCCCCTCAGGGGTGCTGTGCGAGACCGTCACGGGGGGCTCAGCATCTCACAAGATGCAGCTGTAACGCTTTTTATCTAAACTTGCCCAGCACAGAGCATTTCTTGGTCCAAGGCGAGTCCTGGATAAAAGGCAAACTCCCACCCAAAGATCTCCAAAGTATCCTCTGTCCTTGATCTTCAGACCAACTCTACTGCCAACTCTGATCTACTTCAGACCAACACTTATACCAGGGTTAGTCCACAGTATCAGTGGGAAATGGCACGTTCTGTATTAGAGATTTTCTTAAGGACCTTCTATCTAGATATTTTCTCTAATATACCCACATAAACTTCCCCAACATTTTCCTCAAATTATTTCAAGCAGTCCCTAATGAAAGCCACATCTCCTCATCTCCTGATTGTTCTAGGCTCCATAAGAAATCATTTAAATTAGACTCTTTGTTGACTTTTAGTATTTCCATTCAGGTGTATAATGAAAAATGCAGCTTTTTGGTCTTATAAATACCTCTTGTAAAAGAAACAGCAGAATTACAGGCATACATCACAGACAGAAGAGAAATCCAAGCTGCCAGGAAAGAGTTAAAAAACATTAAATGGAGCCAACTCCCCAGTTTAACTCAGCACACTGGGTTAGGAAACTGCAGATGGTCAGAATACCTGATAAAGCCAAAACTTTTCATTTCACCCGAAGTAAAGAATTTCATTCAAATCAAAAATATTTGTTTAACTTTCAGCAATTTCTTAAACCAGTGTGAGGTTCATATTTACAGAAAAGCAGGTGCCATTCACAAAACTGGTGAAGAGGAGGGAGGGGAGCTGCTGCTGTGCTTCTGCTCTTACATCTGGAGGAAAACCTTAAATTCAAACCTAGCCTGTGCCTGCTTCAAAGCAGGGACTGGACCCTGGGGGCCCTCCCTCCTGTGAGAGTACACTCATATCGCAGATATTTGGGGGTGTGCAGCTCTTTGATAACTCCTCAGTGACATACCCCCAGCTACATAAACACTTAACTGCATACTAAACCAGGCAGCAAGAGAGTGGCTCTAAGGCTGCACAGAAAGGGCAGGCACTGAGGTCCTGGTCCTGCTGGGAGCTGGGCAGAGACCTAGTGCGAGTGAGACCTGATTTCTAATGCAACCTCCTCCCTGCTTTTCTGTCAAAGTCCTTATCAAGTGTCCAAAGGATTTGAACATTTCCGTAAGAGTTTTTTAAAAAGATTAATTAAAATTAATCCAAAATTTAAATAATAAATAAATAGTAAAATTATGCAGAAACTTTTGCCACTTTTGACCCATACTTAAGGGGCACTTCTAGCTGATTGAAACTCCACTGCTACAGCTGTCCCAGTCCTATACATCCATAAGCCAAGCCCGAGCAGCCAGCGCTCTTGCTTGCAAGTCTTGCACTAGGTGTGGGCTGCATCACCTGGTGTGGCTCTTAACACCCCTGTGGCTCTGCATGGGCCCCTGCTGCTCGTGGCACAAGTCACGGGTCATCTGTAAATATTGCTTGGGTCCATGCTGGTCTTATTTATCACCTCGCTGAAGCACACCTTGCTCTTTCCCATCAGACATGCTTGCACATGTGCCCACAGCGGGCAGCTCAGCCCAGGCACCTGCAAGGCGAGGGATTTCAGCACTAGCCCCTCTGGTATGCATCTGCTTGGGGGCACCCACTGTTCCCTTTTATCGGCGGTAACTGGGCAGAAGAAAGCCTTTAGTTCTTAGAGCATCGTGTTTCTCCACCCTCCCCAAATTTCACAAATCTCTCCACTTTCAGCTGAAAATCTGCAAAACCTTTCAGCACGCTGGCTTTGCCATCTCTGTTAACATACAGTTCCTGACTCCAGAGCAGCACCAAGTCCTACAGGCAGCACGGTGGCACGTACCTTGGCAAGCAGGCTGGCTTCTTCAGGTGACACAGAGAGGAAACAAGGCTGCTTGCCAATGAGATAGGAGAAAGGCCAACAACAGTTCCCCCAAAAATCCAGCCAAACCTGCCTGGAATCTAGGGCCGTACTTTACATGTTAAGGATTGTAGAAAGAGTCTTTATTTTATTTTAATAATGCTTTAATGATCTTTCCTTTGCTCTGCATTTAGTCTATTAGTTCTCATTAGGAGAAAATCTCCAGTTTAAGAGCAAAAATTTAAAACCCGTAAAGAGTCCAATCCTGAAAACTGAGTTGCAATATATGATTTATTTGGATATACAGGGAGGGAAGATGTCATCTTACTAAGTTTATTTCATACTTTATGTGCTGTAAACTTGGTCCAATGCAAAGTTCAGCTTAGAGACCATAAGCGAAGTCCTGGATGTGGGTCACAATTTTGTTAGTTCCCCGCCAACCTCACCCAACAGAACACAGTCATGAAGATGCTCCGACAGAGTTTGGCACCTGGATCCTTGGGTTTCTCATTTGGTTTCGCCTCTAGGAACACAGCAGTTATGCCATGTGCTGGAGAACCTGTTCAGATACTACTAGCAGTTTGTCAAACTGGAGAACATTTCCATTGCTGTCAGCTCTCAAAAATATATGTGCGCATTTTGAAACTCTTTTCATTACTGATATTCATAGCAGCAATAGAAACTATATTCCGAAGATTTGCTTTCTTCCCTTGTCTGAACTTGTTACAGCACTGCCCGGATGACTCCCCATTGCGGCTCAGGCTGAAGTAGCGATGGGGACCATGTCCGGAAACGTAGCAGGGTGACAGCGCATGGCAATTGTGCATACCTGAAGTGTCACATGGTGACCCATGCCCCAGCAAATCCACCTCATCCGGAGAGCAGCGAGCAAAGAAACTGGAGGAGACCCCCCTCTGTCGCTTCCACTCCCTATCCCTGATCCCTTCTTCAAAGTGTGAACTGATGTGGTGGTACCTGTGATGGGGCTCCAGCAGGGACAGGCGGGCACGCCAGCGTGTCACCGGCAGTGACAGGGCCAGTGCACCTGCGTACAGCCCCGAATGGGTTGGCACTGTGTCCCCCCGCCAATGGCAGGGCTGGACCTGGAAGGGTCTGCCACCTCTCCTTGCGGGATGCACCCCCCAGGACCATCTGCTCAGACTTTGCATGAGATGTTACAGGCTCTCACCTACGTATTTAAATAGCTTTTCCAGCATCTGCCATTTACAGTGGGGAGAAAAGGCCGACCTGCAGACTGTGTGGGTAAGCTAGGGTCACATACAGTTTTTGTGGCAGAAGTATTGCAGCAAAGGATCTACAGCAGGCACCCCCCTGCTGCCCTTGCCTTCCTGGCTTATAAACCTCTACGCTTTCCCTCTGCCCTTTCTTCTGTACCTGATTTCTACTCACTATCAAATTTGCCCCCACACATCTGATCTCTCTGCCTCCCACACCCCGTCTGATTCCTTCATGCCACTCAGCTCCTCTCCTGCCTTATCCCTTTGCTTCCTCCACCCACGCAAACCCTGAGTCTCTCTCACCATCTCAGATGCTCAGCGCATCCTTCCAGCCATCATCTGTGCATCTGTGCATCTTCTTTAAACCACTTCTCTCAACCCCGAATCCAGTGTCATGGTAGCCATACGGTATCAGGTTTTGTGCCTGAACATCATCCTTATAAGCCATGTGCAAACTAGAAAATAAAGCTGGTTCTTATTATGGTCTTGGTTTTTTATGCACACAGCACAGGAGGAGTTAAAGAAAGCAATACTCTGAGGGAAGGATGGAGACACACTAAGGGCTTTTCAGTTTTATGCAGCCTTGTGAAAATATGATGTAGAGCTCAAACTATAAATTCCCACTAAATACAGCATTGTGTGCTATTAACCCATACAAAAAAAAGTGATTCTGTTCTCTCTCTCTTTTTGTGTAGATACTAAGAAGAGCAGACAAGAATGGTAAGACCGGTCATGTGTCTTTCCCCTCCCTTTCGAAAAAAAAAATCCATCATTGATTCAGCATTTTAAGTCATGCTTTAAATGTCCTAACGGGAAAACCAGCCATCCCTCATGTCATTTTTTGTTTTCTACAGGCTCAATGCAATGTATTTTGTTGTTCACTGATCCTCCCTACAGGTTCTTTAAGGGCAGATCTTGTGCTTTCACAATTTGGCATGTGTTTTTGATTTGCTCCTTGGGTGCATGTGGGTGTTTTCTTAATGACATTGTGTTCACAAGAAGGTTTGAAATACTTGTTAGTAGCTCCATCTTATTACTTTTTAGAAACACCATAGGCTATATCTAGCAATCAGACTTGTTTCCTACGTTTTGCAGTTATTTATTTGTTTGGCATGTCAGCAGGCAGAATAAAGCCTTGAATTCAACTCACATATTTATAACACAAAAGTTTTGAGTTTTTTGTTATGTTCTTAATCGAAAGTTTTGCCTTTGTGCTGCTGACTGATTTTCCTTCCACATATATTTTTTCCCTTGTTTAAATTCAGTAAGTTGGAGCATAGTACTGTAAGGCTTCACAAATGCCCCTGTTTGGGCTGCAGCAGGGAAGGGTCCTTGCTGTAAGGGCCACAAGTGTAACCACGGGAATTTTTTTCTGGGGTACACAGTCATGGTCTTGAACCTGACTTTAACTCCTTTTCCCATCTCAGAATTGCTGCACAATTTTGGACAAGTTACGTTGTCATTTTTGTGCCACATATCCCAGCAGAGAAATGAAGCCTCTGCTACTTCCCTGTGTCACGCAGAGTGTGAGATTTGGTATGTTTGAGGCTATGAAGAGCTTCTGTAGCTCTGCAGTTACCATAATAGTATTTATACTTAACTCAGATAACCAGAGTTAGATCTTGCAGGACAAGAAGGAAATACAAGCTCACAATTATTTAGCACTGTAATACAAAAGTACGGGAAGAAGGGAGATGCGACTTCTTGCAGAAGCACGGGCCAGACTTCAGTCTTTTCCTGAAAGCATTGAAGAGTGTCAAACCCACAGCTCAGACAGGTTTAACCCTGGCAAGGAATTCCAGTCAATCCTCAGAAAACAGGTATTGTGCAGGTTCAAGAAAGTGTACTCTCAGGTATTTAAAGGCATAATGGATACTATTGGGAAAATCAGAGAGAATCACTTTCAAGGAAGAACTGTTGGACAGTAAGGGGCTACCATACAGTTTGGTGGTATAGCTGAACCTGTCAAATAACCGTTTATTGTTGCTGAGAGGGCAATCCCACCCCCACAGCCCACCTCCGGCTGCATATTCCTGCCCCAACTCGTGTGCAGCAACTGGCACTTCCCACTAAACCAAGGCAGGCTCCTTCAGAGAGCTCAGGGACCACAAAACCCATCACTGTGAGGGTTTTTTGTTAGTGTTTTAACTCCCTCAGTCAGCTTGCCTGTGGCTCGGAAGGGCGGTGGTGGTGCAGGCTGAATCCCAAGGTGAGGGCTGCAATGGAGAGGAGAAGGACCTTCCCCTTCAGCCATGCTTTTCCAGCTTAGCTGTGTGCCAGCCACAGCCAAGCTCTCCCGGCATCCCCCGCAGATCTCCTTGCGGTGTTTGGAATAGATGTTTATGTGTCTGAAGACTGATGAGCATGAGAGCGCATGGTGCAGAGCAGGGGTCGTCATCCCGCTGGAGTCAAAAAGAGCCCTTGCAGCTTCATGTCCCTGCCCTGGACTTTGAGCTCATGCTCTGTCCCAGCCCTGGTGGATCCACAGCACTTTAGTGGTCAGGAAGACTTCCAGTCCTCAATGAGGTTACCCCACAGTTTATTATTGATACTTTGCTATTAAAATAGGGGAAACAGCTCACATGATCAGTGACAAACTTGCTTGTTCCAGAACAATATGAACCCATGTTGGCCCTAGAGACTTTGGTCACTGAAGTTCATACTTATATATGGATCCTTTGCAACATATTATTGGGAGAAAAGTGGCTAAGTTCAGCCACTTCTATTAATTTAAGTCCATGAGCTTGAAATGGTTTCAGCTCTCATGTGCTTAATTGTGTTTGCTCAACCATCAGTTGCACTTGGACTTCCACTTTACTAATCTAGCACTGTGCAGGCTCATGCCGCATTAATAAGGAGGAGATTTGTCTTAAGGCTGGGATGTTAAGCACCTTCTCAGAAAGTGAATACTCATCTAACATGCTTACACTGTTATCAACACAGATTATTAGCTTTTGTTAATGACTAAGATACTTGCACTTTCAGTATCACCTTTCTGTGCTGCAGGAAACCAAGTATTGGCTTACAGTAACAAATACTACGTTACTGTCCACGACACACTCTTGTTAACCCATACACTTTTAATAGGACTCTCTCAGAGCTGCCGTATTCATTCTCTGTGAGATTAAAATACCCCCCAAAAAATTTATCATCAAAAACCTTACTAGATACGTGCTTGACAACAAGAAAAAAATAGATCAAAAAAAGTGAATCAAGCTGATAAATGGAGTTTTATAGGAGATAGCATTCTCACTATGAATTTAGGGACTGTGGGACTTCAGGTTAGCCTTCCACAACAAAGAAAGACAACTATTCTTGCAAAGACAATATAAAATGAGAGATCAAGGGAGCCAACAAATCCTG